GTGAGGGGAAGGGGAAGAATGTTGTAAGTGTGGAGGTGGTCGGGGTGATGGAACTCTGCTGGGAATCATGCTGCCTCTACCTTATGGGTGGAGTGGAAGAGGATTGTGGTCGTGTGAGAGGGTTGTGAGAGAGAGTTGTGGTCGTGTGAGGGGTTGTGAGTGAAAGGGGTTGTGAGAGTTGTGGTCGTGTGAGAGGGGTTGTGAGAGTGAGAGAAGGGGCTGTGAGAGTTGTGGTCGTGTGAGAGGGGTTGTGAGAGTGAAAGGGGTTGTGGTCGTGTGAGAGAGAGAGTGGTCGTGTCGTGTGAGAGGGGTTGTGAGAGTTGTGAGAGAGAGTTGTGGTCGTGTGAGAGAGCTGTGAGGAGGGTCGTTGTGAGAGGGGTTTGTGGTCAGGAGAGGGGTTGTGAGAGAGTTGTGGTCGTGTGAAAGTGAGAAGGGTGTGAGAGAGAGTTGTGGTCGTGTGAGAGGGGTTGTGAGAGAGTTGTGGTCGTGTGAGAGGGGTTGTGAGAGTGAAAGAGAGAGTGAGTGAGAGTTGTGAGAGATGAGAAGTTGTGAGAGGGTTGTGAGAGTGAAAGGGGTGAGAGAGTTGTGGTCGTGTGAGAGGGGTTGTGAGTGAAGGATCTCCTCTGACACAAGATATCAGGAGTTCCTGTATCAGAATGACAGACAGGACCTGTGCTATAGACTTTATACTAAGGGTTATGTAAGAGTGATGGATCCTTCCGAACTTGGTGTTGGGGGGTCATGGTAGGTGAAAATCCTACTCTGGTAACTGCCTGCATGGGATAACAAGGTCATGTAAAATCACGAGGACCAACAACTACACGTGGGTGGGTCACTGAGCCTCTACTGGTACACAGGTGCGGCACAACACCTCTGTTACACTAGTGCACCTGCAGGTGTCACGGTACTCACCTTGGTAATGCTCTGGTCGGAGGTGAAAGTGGCGATGCCGGCCCTTACTCGGTTCTTGACGCCCCTGACGGTGCCCTTATAACTCTTGATGGTGGACTCCTGCTGGGGGGAGAAGATGTCTCTGATCCCAGCGAAGCCCTGACCGGCCTTGTCATCCCGGCACTCGTATAGGGACCGAGTGTCGTCACACTGACTTTGGCCTGTTGATAGACCCATTTGGCGCCACCCCTCCAGGTACACTGGGGAGGTGCGTGGCGACTCTACTTCCTCTTCAAATAAGGACACGGAGGAGGGGAAGTTGGAGGAGCAGCGAGAGAGAGAGGGACTGGCAGGACAGGACCGACGCTGTGTAACGTGATGGCGTCCAGATGACCACTGATGGGGACCAGCTGACCTACCCAAGTGCCCACGCTCCTCCACTCGACCTCCCTGTTGTTGGTGATGATGGTGGTGGTGTTGCTGTTGTTGCTGTTGCTGTTGGTGCTGCTGTTGGTGCTGGTGCTGGTGCTGCTGTTGCTGCTGCTGTTGCTGCTGCTGCTGCTGCTGCCGACGCTGCTGTAACTCCTGCCATTTTTCCCGGATCTCGTTCATGAGACATTCTGGTAAACTGGCTTTCTTGGTAGTGGGCAGGAAGGAGCGGCTAGAGCGCCTTGTTGACGATGTCCTGCTCGAGGAGGCCCACTGGTGCTTAGGTTGCTGGCCGCTGCGGGAAGACCCTGTCATAGAGTCGCTTGACACATTGCTCTCGCTGTCCGAGTCCGAGGAGGTGTGGTGACGAAGGGGCTGAGGGCGTGTAGGATGTCGGGACGCGGGTGGCGGGGTGTCGTGTTCAGAACACACTCCAGAGTCCCCGACTTCCGAGGGCGAAGAGTTACCGCTGTGGGTGGAGGGTGCTGGCGAGGAGCTCCTCTGCCACTCTCCCTCCTCGCAGTAAGACATGGAGGACTTGGGGCGGTGTTTGGTAGGCTGGGTGTCGTCTGTTTCCAGTAAAGGAGGAACAATTTCGGGTAAACACTCCAACTGCTCCCGGGGAGCTCCGGTAAACTGTACAGGTGCCGCTAACGTGCCCATGTCTGAGGTGCCGCTGGTGAAGTGGAGACGTCTTGGTGTGGCACTACGGGCGTGGGGATGGAGTGTGGGCAGGGAGAGCGACTTGGTGGGTAAACCGAGCACAGCGCCGCCCACTTGGTACTGAGGACACCCGCGTGAGGGCATACTGAACCACCCTCGCTCACTCACTTTCTGACCTTGTGCACGGCCCTCTCAGACACTCCACGCATGCACACTGCCTGTCCTTGTCCACACTCACATACACACACGTGCCGCCCACCTTCTAGCACGGGGAACACCACTAGTATGTCACGGCACACGCTCCTCGAGTCACCTACTGCAGACCCAGCTGGCTTCCCACTAACTATAACACACATTAAGAGCAGCGACGGGATGACAACCCAAGTTTCACCTCCACACTCTAGAACTCCGTCACAGACTTGGGTATTCACTGTGTTATGACACTTGGCATCACCCAAGTCGAAAGACACTTTTTGCCACACGTCCTTCAACTGGAGCGGCTTCCCGACGTCTTCCGAGGAACTTGACTAAAAGGCAATCGTACTCCGCCTTCCGTGCAGAAACACGTGACTCCGGTTCTGTTCATATTACCACTCGTATGCTTTCCTCACAGGTAAATATATGGAATGGACTAATACTTCTCCATGTTAAGATGACGATAGACCAAGAATTCACGTTTATTTCCGAGAAAAAAAAATGAAATTAGAGATTGTTTTCCCCCGTGGTCGTGCGCCAGGCAGGGGAGCGCTGAGCAACAGGTGTTCTGATAGAGAGGTGAGTTAGCGGTACCCAGGACTTGCGGCCGAGCTGTAACCCCCCCGCCACGAGCCACCCCTGCGCCACCACCTCACAACACAACCAACATCTTCACAACACAACCCACATCCTCACAACACAACCAACATCTTCACAGCACAACCAACATCCTCACAACACAACCAACATCTTCACAACACAACCAACATCTTCTCACAACACAACCAACATCTTCACAACACAACCAACATCTTCTACAACACAACCAACATCCTCACAACACAACCAACATCCTCACAACACAACCCACATCCTCACAACACAACCAACATCTTCACAACACAACCAACATCTCACAACACAACCAACATCCTCACAACACAACCAACATCCTCACAACACAACCAACATCCTCACACAACACAACCAACATCTTCACAACACAACCAACATCCTCACAACACAACCCACATCCTCACAACACAACCAACATCCTCACAACACAACCCACATCCTCACAACACAACCAATATCACAACACAACCCACATCCTCACAACACAACCAACATCCACACAACTACCATCCACACAACCCACATCCTCACAACACAACCCACATCCTCACAACACAACCAACATCCACACAACCCCACATCCACACACAAACCCACATCCTCACAACACAACCCACATCCCCACAACACAACCAACATCCACACAACCTACCATCCACACAACCCACATCCTCACAACACAGCCCACATCCTCACAACACATTCCACATCCTCACAACACAACCAACATCCACACACCCCATCATCCACACAATATCATCCGCAACCTACCATCCACACAACCTACCATCCACACAACCCACCATCCACACAACCCACCATCCACACACAACCCACATCCACACAACCCATCCACACAACCCACCATCCACACAACCCACCATCCACACAACCCACCATCCACACACAACCCACCATCCACACAACCCACCATCCACACAACCTACCATCCACACAACCCACCATCCACACAACCTACCATCCACACAACCTACCATCCACACAACCTACCATCCACACAACCTTCCATCCACACAACCCATTCACACAACCCACCATCCACACATCCACCATCCACACAACCTACCATCCACACAACAACCTACCATCCACACAACCTACCATCCACACATCCTACCATCCACACAACTTATCATCCGCACAATTTGTAACTAACTAATAACTAACTAACTAACTATGACTGATGATGACAACTAACTGACTAACTGACTGACTGACTAACTAACTGACTGACTGACTGACTGACTGACTGACTGACTGACCCACTGACTGACTGACTGACCCACAGAGTTTTTTTTGTTAACCCCCGCCCCCCCTTTCCTCTAGGTGCTGGACCGGCTTTATTGCATCCCCGCGCCGTCCTCTGGCCGGTCAAGATCCATTTTTGTTTGCCGTCTTTTTTGTTTATTTGTTCTTTGTTTACTTGTTTTGTTTACTTGTTTTGTTTACTTAGTTTTGTTTACTTTGTTTTGTTTACTTGTTTTTGTTTACTTGTTTTTGTTTACTTGTTTTTGTTTACTTGTTTTTGTTTACTTGTTTTGTTTACTTGTTTTTGTTTACTTGTTTTTGTTTACTTGTTTTGTTTACTTGTTTTTGTTTACTTGTTTTGTTTACTTGTTTTTGTTTACTTGTTTTTGTTTACTTGTTCTTTGTTTACTCTTTTTTGTATTACTTGTTTTGTTTACTTAGTTTTTGTTTACTTGTTTTTGTTTATTCGGTCTTGTTTTGTTTACTCTTTTTGTTTACCTTTTTGTTTGTTTTTGTTTACTCTAAGTGAAATAAGCTGGGGTGTCTAATCTTTTAGGCAATAATAAGCTGGGGTGTCTAATCTTCAGGTAGAATAAGCTGGGGTGTCTAATTCTAGAGAATAAGCTGGGGTGTCTAATCTTCAGGAGAATGCAGTGTCTAATCTTCGCAGAATAAGTCGGTGTCTAATCTTCAGGTAGAATAAGGTGGGTGTCTAATTCAGAATAAGCTGGGTCTAATCTTCAGTAGAATAAGGTGTCTAATCTTGGTAGAATAAGTTGGGGTGTCTAATCTTCAGGTAGAATAAGTGGGTATCTAATCTTCAGGTAGAATAAGCTGGGGTGTCTAATCTTGTAGAATAAGCTGGGGTGTCTAATCTTCAGGTAGAATAAGCTGGGGTGTCTAATCTTCAGGTAGAATAAGGTGGGGATTCTAATCTTCAGGCAGAATAAGCTGGGGTGTCTAATCTTCAGTAGAATAAGCTGGGGTGTCTAATCTTCAGGTAGTAAGCTGGGGTGTCTAATCTTCAGGCAGAATAAGCAGTGTCTAATCTCAGGTAGAATAAGCAGTGTCTAATCTGGTTTGTAGAATAAGTGGGGTTCAATCTTCAGGCAGAATAAGGTGGGTGTCTAATCTTCAGGCAGAATAAGCTGGGGTGTCTAATCTTCAGTAGAATAAGCTGGGGTGTCTAATCTTCAGGTAGAATAAGGTGGGGTGTCTAATCTTCAGGAGAATAAGCTGGGGTGTCTAATCTCAGGTAGAATAAGGTGTCTAATCTTCAGGTAGAATAAGCTGGGGTGTCTAATCTTCAGGTAGAATAAGGTGGGTGTCTAATCTGTGTCTAATCTTCAGGTAGAATAAGCTGGGTGTCTAATCTTCAGGTAGAATAAGGTGGGTAATCTCAGGTAGAATAAGCTGGGGTGTCTAATCTTCAGGTAGAATAAGCTGGGTGTCTAATCTTCAGGTAGAATAAGGTGGGTGTCTAATCTTCAGGTAGAATAGCTGGGTGTCTAATCTTGTAGAATAAGCTGGGGTGTCTAATCTTCAGTAGAATAAGGTGGGGTGTCTAATCTTCAGGTAGAATAAGGTGGGTGTCTAATCTTCAGGTAGAATAAGGTGGGGTGTCTAATCTTCAGGTAGAATAAGCTGGGGTGTCTAATCTTCAGGTAGAATAAGCTGGGGTGTCTAATCTTCAGGTAGAATAAGCTGGAGGGGTAATCAACAGGTGGTCCCAAAGAGGTTAGCAGTTCTCTTTGTGATACTTGAAGTGACACGCACAGCAAGACTTGTAAAGGGGTGATTGGTGGAGCATTTACATTATGGTAAGAGAGAGAGGGAGAGGGAGAGGGAGAGAGTGGTGGAAAGAGAGAGAGAGACAGTGTGTGTAAGGAAAGAGAGAGAAAGAAGGGTAGGAGAGGGATGTTGTGTGTAAGAGAGAGAGAGAGAGTATCTGTGGTAAGCCCTGACAGCCTATATTACAGTACTTCAGATCCGGATTGGCTTAAGGGTAGGGGGGAGGGAGGTGGCCCCATGCTGATTCAGCAGTTATAATATTGTATGAAAAACAGGCGTTCATGACTTTGCTCACACGTGTGCATATCCGCATACACACACACACACTACTACTACTACTACTACTACTACTACTACTACTACTACTACTATTACTACTACTACTACTACTACTACTATACTACTACTATACTACTACTACTAATATACTACTACTACTACTACTATTATGACGATCATGCAACTATGGTACGATGATATGAGTTATTAAGGATGTCACCTATAGGTTGGTGAGTTCTGAGGTGACTGAAGAGGCCGATACGGGACCGGCAGGGTCGTCCACAGATGTTGCACATGTGGAGGACTATATCTAGTGCGGGAGGGGTGGCGGTAGCATCTTTTTGGCGTTGGCGCTTGTCTGCCTTGTTATGCAGTCGGGCTAACCTAAAGTATTGACACCTTCTCGTGTGGCGCCTCCAAGCGTTACGGTGTGGTATCTGTCTCCCAGGTGAGGGTCGATTTGGCACTTTTTCAGGTCACACACACACACACACACACACACACACACACACACACACACACACACACACACACACACACACGTGCGTAACCTGGACCCATACATCAAGTCTCACTAAAACTTTCAGGTCGACACGGAGTCAGTGACATGAGCCGTAAAGCCAATATATATTGTACTCTACTTAACCTAACCTAACCACAAGTTTCTCTCGTCATGGCACTAATACACTCAGAGGATTTCACTGTATTAAAATAACATCCAATGACTCCAGCTTGTATGAATAGATTAGTTACCTGATGTTTTTTGGTGTATGACAGTATTGGTGAGTTAGTTTTGATAGTACACTAAAGGATTTTATTGTATTAAAATAGTATAACTAATTTATCATTAACATTATACTGCATAAGGCTTGTATGAATACATTACCTTGTGTATTTCGTTGTATAATACAGTATAGGTTAGATTAGGTTAGGTTTCATAATACAATATCTGTTTATGTGGGAAGAATTTAGTTATTTTTCTGCAGACTGGAACGACACTCTAGCATGACTTGGTCTTTTGTTATGTTCATTCTGTGGTAGGTTTTACCGATTCTTGGAGGTTATTGAATATATTGCAACTTCATTGAATATCGCCACTTTCACTTGGTTATTGCGAAATTGACCTAACATAGCAGCTTTCATTTGGTATTGCGAATTTCTTGACTGGTGTAAAGTTGTATTGATTTTGCAAGTTTGACTCAAAATTGCACATTTTACTATTGCAACCTTTATTTAAGATTGCAAACTTCCTTAATATTGCAAACTTCACTTAACATTGCAAACTTTACTTAATAATGCAACTTTTACTTAAGATTGCAAGCTTAAGTAAAAGAGTCATAGTAGTAA